TGGAAGCAGCTATTGATGCAGATGTAGGGCCTAACTCTCTCCAGAGTTACCAACTGAGCTATAGTGAGCATTTCTCTCTGATGGTTGAGGATAAGACTGAAGGCAAGAATGCCCCAGAATTAGTGCTGGAGAAGCCCCTGGACAGGGAGCAACAGAGTTCCCACCTCCTGGTCTTGACAGCAGTGGACGGGGGTGATCCCATCCAAACTGGCACCACTCAAATCAGGGTCAAGGTCACAGATGCCAATGATAACCCCCCAGTGTTCAGTCAGGATGTATACAAAGTTAGCCTGCGTGAGAACTCACCCCCAGGCACTTTTGTTCTAAAGGTGAAGGCCACTGACCAGGATGAGGGCATCAATGCAGAGATCACCTACTCCTTCAAAACACTACGAGGTATTGGAAACATGTTTGTGCTGGATCATCAAAGTGGAGAAATTAAATCCAATGGTCCTATAGACTTTGAAATCAGTAGCAGTTATACCATAAGCATAGAAGCCAAGGATGGTGGAGGCATGACCAGTGAGTGTAAAGTTATACTGGACATTTTAGATGAGAACGACAATGTCCCAGAGGTGGTTTTCACTTCGGTGTCTAGTTCCATAACTGAGGATGCCAAACCCGGAACCGTGATTGCTCTGTTCAAAACACATGACAAAGATTTGGGAGAAAATGGGGAGGTCACATGTCTCATAAAAGAAAAAGTTCCTTTCCGAATTGAATCTTCCGCCAATAATTACTACAAGCTTGTGACAGATGGGGCCTTGGACCGGGAGCAGACCCCGGAGTACAATGTCACCATCGCAGCCACAGACAGGGGCAAGCCGGCCCTCTCCTTCAGCAGAAGCGTCACTCTACGAATCACCGATGTCAACGACAACGCTCCAGTTTTCCGCCAGGCCTCCTATGTGGTCCACGTGGCAGAGAACAATCCACCCGGCGCCTCCATCGCGCAAGTCAGCGCCTCCGATCCCGACCTGGGACCAAATGGCCACGTCTCCTACTCGATCGTGGCCAGCGACCTGGAGCCGCGCGCGCTGTCGTCCTACGTGTCCGTGAACCCACAGAGCGGCGTGGTGTTCGCGCAGCGCGCCTTCGACCACGAGCAGCTGCGCACCTTCGAGCTGACGCTGCAGGCCCGCGACCACGGCTCGCCCACGCTCAGCGCCAACGTGAGCCTGCGCGTGCTGGTAGGCGACCGCAACGACAACGAGCCCAGGGTGCTGTACCCGGCGCTGGGGCCCGACGGCTCGGCGCTCTTCGACACGGTGCCCCGCGCCGCGCAGCCCGGCTACCTGGTCACCAAGGTGGTGGCGGTGGACGCAGACTCTGGACACAACGCCTGGCTGTCTTACCACGTGCTGCAGGCCAGCGAGCCCGGGCTGTTCAGCGTAGGGCTGCGCACGGGCGAGGTGCGCACGGCGCGGGCCTTGGGCGACAGGGACGCGGCCCGCCAGCGCCTGCTGGTCGCTGTGCGCGATGGGGGACAGCCGCCCCTCTCGGCCACCGCCACGCTGCTCCTGGTTTTCGCCGACAGCCTGCAGGAGGCGCTGCCGGACCTCAGTGACCGGCCCGCGCCCTCTGACCCCCAGGCTGAGCTGCAGTTTTACCTGGTGGTGGCCTTGGCCTTGATCTCGGTGCTCTTCCTCCTCGCGGTGATTCTGGCGGTCGCCCTGCACCTGCGGCGCTCCTCCAGCCCTGCTACTTGGGGCTGCTTTAAGCCTGGTCTCTGTGTCAAGTCTGGACCTGGGGTTCTCCCCAACTACAGTGAGGGAACTTTGCCTTATTCCTACAATCTGTGCGTTGCGGATTCTCAGAAACCAAGGTTCGACTTTCTCACCTTGACGCCAGAAGTGGTGTCCCCACAAGATCTTTCTAATGAAGCTTCTTTGGTAGTAAGTGTCACTGAGGAGAATAACAAGTTAAGCTGTAACTCTGTTGCTTCTATTCAAGTGAGTTTAATGAATGCCTTTCATCTGCAGATGGGTTTGGATTATTTTTAAACCAATATTTAACAAAGAAAAAATCTTAAACAGATTATATCCACTATCACTTCACTTTTGTTTGCCCACTCTGTCTTTTCTGTTTCTTTCTGGGTAGGTCAGCAAGTCTTATTATTAACCCTCAAGTATTTAAAATATTTTGACAGTTTCATCTGAGTTTCTATTCTATTATCCCCACACAAAATCTCTCTTACTGTGAGATGTGGATAGTATAATGCTGCTGCCATTCACATATTTTTAATGGAAACATAATTTTTTCCTGTGGGTATTTCTCTTTTTTAGAACATCAATATCTTAGCATATAAGGCTTTTCTTTACTCTCTTAACTACAAAGTGAGAGGGGAATGCATACAAACTTTAAAATTAAGGACATAATAATGACTACATAATATTTAGGTATTTGCTAGGGATTCTTTGAGTACCACTGAACAGATAAATTTTATGTCCTACTTCTTCTCAGAGCTATCTGTTGATTTCATTGCAGTGTTAAAGGTGTTATTTATGGTATACCTGCCAAATATGCTTATCCTCATAATATAAATATTTACATATGTGAAAGCACAATAGAGAGATTTTTTTCCCTATATTTTGGTGGGCTTCCAAATATATTGCCAGTAAGTGTCAGTCACTGGAATTTGGTGTTTCCCAGAAAAAGGTGAGTTTATAATATTTTGGTTTCTAATTTTCCTACACATTCTCTTTTTTAACTGAAGTATAGTTGATTTACAGTGTTGTGTTAGTTTCTTATGTACTGCAGTCATTCATATATACATATCCTTTTTCAAATTCTTTTCCATTGTGGTTTTTCACAGGATACTGATCCTAAACATTTTTTTTGAAATATATTAGTAGAGTCCTACCCATATCCCCAGCAAATGCTAGTTGGAATGCTTTCTTTTTTTTTATTTTATTGTGATTGTGCCCCTCCTACCATCTCATTGCAGCTTCTCCTTTGACTTTGGATGTGGGGTATCTTTTTTGGTGGGTTCTGCATTTTTTTGTCCATGGTTGCTTAGCAATTCATTGTGCTTTTGGTGCTCTTGAAGGAGTAGGTGAGCACATGTCTTTCTACTCTGCCATCTTGAACCAGCGCCTCTGGAATGCTTCTAGTTTGTTCTATAAATGTGTGTCTTCTTCAGTTGATTTCCTGTCAAGTGTGATTCTGATAATGTGTGCAATCATGTTTCTTTAGGTTGCCATATTATTGTAAAATTTTGATTTTTAAATGCTAAATGTCAACAACCTGTTAAAGTAGTTCTTCCATTTAGGCAAATTTAAGAATCTACCGAAAATTTTTGCCCCAGATTTTAGTTGAGTGAGAATTTTTAAATTATTGTTATATAATTTCTCAAAACATGAACCGCCTTAGGAGATTCCCATAATAGGTATGTATGTGTGTTGGGGGGTGATACCAAAGCTGGTGTACTAAAATTACATGGTTAAATTTATTGTGTATAGAAACTTCATGTAAAAGCTCATCAGCAAAATCAGAATATACATACAGGTACAGAAAATAATCTCAGGAAGGTGGCTGTTTATGAGAAGTTTAGGGGAATAAAAAGTTCACTGAAATTCCAAATAAGATGAATACAGTAGTTTTAGTTGGGTCCACTTTTATCCCTGTTTGAAGAACAGTAGGTGGAGCTATTTAAGGTCTAGAAATCAAAATGGTTTCCCGGACTTTAAGACTGTGCAGTAATTGGTTAGGACTCTGAGCGCCGCTGTTCACCAACCGGGAGAGAAGAGCAGAGAGCTCCTGCCAGCCGTGCACGCGCGTGAAGCACAAGCACAGAGAAAAATTAACCATCTCTCGGACTCTGAGGAAACTGAGCAGAGGAGCTCGGGTCCCCAAAGTGTGGGCTTTAAGGACGAGTGAGCTGATCCGGACTTCGCTGATCAAGGGAAGAACTGGAAGTAGTACTCAAGGAAAGTGACAATGATTCCTGCGCGAATGCACGGGGACTGCAAAAAGCTAGTCTTGCTGGGAGTTCTCCTGGGGGTTCTGTGGGAAACTGGAGGCACACAAATCTATTATTCAGTTCCCAAGGAGCTGGAGAAAGGCTCTAGGGTGGGGAACATCGCCAAGGATCTGGGGTTGGAGCCTCAGGAACTGGAGGAGCGCGGAGTCCGCATCGTCTCCAGAGGTAGGACAGAACTTTTCGCTCTGAATCCGCGGAGCGGCAGCTTGGTCACCGCGGACAGGATAGACCGGGAGGAGCTCTGTATGGGGGCCGTCAAGTGTCAACTAAATCTGGAGATTCTGATGGAGGATCAAGTGAAAATATACGGGGTAGTGGTAGAAGTGAGGGACATTAATGATAACGCCCCATATTTCCAGGAAGGTGAATTAGAAATAAAAATGAGTGAACACGCAGCTAAAGGGATGAGGTTCCCCCTTCCCCACGCTTGGGATCCGGATGTAGGGAAGAATTCACTCCAGAGCTACGATCTCAGCAGTGATACTCACTTCTCCCTTGACGTGCAAAGCGGAGCAGATGGTAATAAGTACCCGGAATTGGTGCTGGAGCGCGCCCTGGACCGCGAGGAAAAGGCCGTTCACCACCTGGTTCTCACGGCCTCCGACGGGGGCGATCCAGTCCGCACTAGCACTGCGCGCATCCGTGTGATGGTCCTTGATGCGAATGACAACGCACCAGAGTTTGCTCAATCCGAGTACCGTGTGAGCGTTCCGGAGGATGTGGCCGTGGGCACTAAACTGCTTCTGGTAAATGCCACCGACCCTGATGAAGGATCCAATGCGGAAGTGATGTATTCCTTCCGGTATGTGGACAACAAAGCGGCCCAACTTTTCGAGCTAGATTGTAATTTAGGGACAATTTCAACAATAGGGGAGTTGAACTACGAGGAATCAGGATTCTACGAGATGGAAGTGCAAGCAACGGATAACGCAGGATATTCTGCACGAGCCAAAGTCCTGATCACAGTTTTGGACGTGAATGACAACGCCCCTGATGTAGTAGTCACCTCTCTCTCCAGCTCCATTCCGGAAAACTCTCCCAGAGGGACGTTAATTGCCCTTTTAAATGTAAATGATAAAGACTCTGGGGAAAATGGACGAGTAACCTGTTTCGTCCTTAGGAATCTACCCTTTAAATTAGAAAAGTCCTATGGAAATTATTATAGTTTAATGACAGACACACTCTTAGACCGAGAACTGGTTCCTAGCTACAACATCACCGTGATGGCCACTGACCGAGGAAGTCCGCCCCTGTCCACGGAAACTGACATCACCCTGCACGTGGCAGACATCAACGACAATGCGCCTGCTTTCTCTCAAGCCTCCTACTCGGCATATATCCTAGAAAACAACCCCAGAGGAGCTTCCATCATCTCTGTGACCGCCTATGACCCCGACTATGGAGAGAATGCCCAGGTCACTTACTCCTTGGTGGAGGACACCCTCCAGGGAGCTCCCCTGTCCTCCTACGTCTCCATAAACTCAGACACTGGTGTCTTGTATGCCCTCCGCTCCTTCGACTATGAACAATTACGAGACTTAGAGCTACAAGTGATGGCACATGATAGTGGGGACGTTCCACTCAGCAGCAACGTTTCTCTGAGCCTGTTCGTGCTGGACCAGAACGACAACTCGCCAGAAATCCTCTTCCCCGTCGTACCTACCGATGGCTCCACAGGGGTGGAGCTGGCACCCCGCTCCGCAGAGCCCGGCTACCTGGTCACCAAGGTGGTGGCAGTGGACAGAGACTCAGGCCAGAACGCCTGGCTGTCCTACCGCCTGCTCAAGGCCAGCGAGCCAGGACTCTTCTCGGTGGGGCTGCACACGGGCGAGGTGCGCACAGCGCGGGCGCTGCTGGACAGAGACGCGATCAAGCAGAGCCTGGTGGTGGCGGTCCAGGACCACGGCCAGCCCCCTCTCTCTGCCACCGTCACGCTCACGGTGGCTGTGGCTGACAGTATCCCAGATGTCCTGGCTGATCTAGGCAGCCTAGAGTCTCCAGCCAGCTCCGACGACTCAGGCCTCACACTCTACCTGGTGGTGGCGGTGGCCGCGGTCTCCTGTGTCTTCCTCGCCTTTGTCATTGTGCTGCTGGCGCTCAGACTGCGGCATTGGCACACGTCGCGTCTGCTCCAGGCTTCGGGCAGCGGGTTGGCTGGCGTGCCGGCGTCTCAGTTTGTGGGCGTGGACGGGGTGCGGGCTTTCCTGCAGACCTATTCGCACGAGGTCTCGCTCACCGCGGACTCTCGGGGGAGTCACGTGATCTTCCCGCAGCCGAACTATGCGGACACGCTCATCAGTCAGGAGAGCTGTGGGAAAAGCGAGCCTCTCTTGCTCTCAGGCGATTCCGTGTTTTCTAAAGATAATCATGCATTAATTCAGGTGAGTGCATATCAAGTATTCTCTTAGCTTTGAGCAAGATACCTCTTATTATGGGTGATTAATATTTATTCGGAATCTATTAAACAGACCCCAAGAAATTTATATGAACATTGAGGACACCGATGACAACCCGGCGGTCTGCCTTCAGGCCTTCCCTCACGCCTTCCCTCACACCTTATTTATAATAATTTAAAAAATATATTTGTATATTTATATAATAAAATTTATATCTACTTTACAAAGTACTTTTTAATGCTCTATATAATTTTTCTAATTTAATTTACCAACTGTACCAATTCTTATGAGTTACCAACTCTTCCTGGTTTTCATTGCTGTTTTAACTTTTCATCGGCCATGCAACAGTTTTAAGTTGAACATCCGATGGCAATTTATCTGTTAAGAACACAGATTCTTCTAGAGGGGATAAATCTCATTCAATGAAAAGTCTATAAATGATATTTTATGTAAAGTTTTATAAACAGAGCGACTTCTAACTACACACAAAGTTGTTTAACAATTTCATAAATTTCATTTAGTTTCTTTTAAAGCGCAGTGATTCTTTCTGGTCATTAGAGATGTATACATTATACTTTCTCAGTATCCTAAGTCATTTCATGGTTTCAAATTATTCACAAAATCCCAAATATCATGAGTTTATTCATATGCATTTAAAACTTTCTCACTGAAATATACACAGTGTAAGTATTGCATGAGGAAAAACTGAAGAGATTATTTTTTTAATCCCTATTATAAATTTCAGGACTACAAGTTTGTATGTGTTCCCAGGTTAGATATTTCTTTTACCCTTTTTATCTACGTGGATGATCTTAATGATATTTCTGTGAAATATTCAGAGTTGACAAATTGTGTTTTGAGTACATTTTTTATATCATCATAAATTTATAGTAATTCTCTCTTCATGTGTAAAATTTCCCATAATTCTCAGATACATGGAAAATTTTCTTGAAAATGTACAAATTCTGTTTCCTTATATCCTTATGCTTATTGTAGAATGTCAAACAGATATCAAATGCTATAATATATTATTCTTGCAAAAGCATTGCTGGAACCTATGATAAGCCTGGTTTCTTTTGGTGAGTTCTTATAAAGGAGTAGGAAATTATAGCATCCTAATTATTTTCTCCTGACTTGTTGCCTTTCTCTTTTCAAAAATACAATAGTTAATTAAAACCTAGACTTATAAAAGAGATTGAAAACCATTTGGGGAATGAAAGATAATCAAATTGCCCTAAAATGAGACAGTTGCTGCTACTGAAATTTACATGTCACTTTATGGTTCTTAACCAAGACAATAAAAGGAAATATAAAATGGGTCTACCTGTCAAATTTTTTTAATGAAGTTTTTGCGCTTATTAAAAATAGCAGTTTGTATTGACATTAAGTTCCAGATGGAATTTTTTAAAATAATTTTTAAAAAGTATTTATTTACTTATTTATTTGGCTGTGCCAGGTCTTTTTGTGGCACACAGAACCTTCAATTTTCTTTGCAGCATGTGGGATCTTTAGTTGCAGCATGCAGGATCTTTTGGTGGTGTCGTGGCATAGGAACTCTTAATTGCTTCATGTGGGATCTAGTTCCCTGACCACAATTCGAACCTGGGCCCCCTGCATTGAGTGCACATAGTCCCAGCAACTGGACCACCAGGAAGCCCCCCAAATGGAATTTAGTACATAGACCTTTCTAAATATCAGGGAAAACAGAGGGAAGCATAACTCCTATTGTTTTGTAAAAGCTATTAAGATGTTTATTAGGTGGCCAGTTTCATGTGTCCGTTGATTCAGTGAAAGATGTAACATGCAATAGAAATTATTTGGAAAGCTAAACTAGTATGGTCCAATTATGTTTATTTCTACTCACATAACCTCATTTAGGGACAAACCATTAAGAGCTAGGGCAATGATTAGTGATGACCCTTAAACTGTATCTCAAGTATCAGTGATCTCCATTATGGTTCCAGTATAAGCTAAATCAGCTTCATTAAATACTTATTGAGTGAATGAATGGACAAATTTATGTGCTCTGAATATTACCTAATATTGGTATTCTAAGACATAGTGTGATAGAGAAACAGCAGTTGTGTAATGAAGTAACTCCTGTGTGATCTTTAACATTATTTAATTGCTTTCAGGTTCAGCAAAATAAGAATTGTAATATGTAATCCAAAAGACTGTGGTGAAGACTAGTGATAACATATAATATAAACCATCTAGTTCATAATATGTACTTAATTAACAGGAAATGCCCCCCCTTTTTAAAAACATTGTCAATAGAAAAAGAAGATGTGCTTTCATTATCACAACACTTAATGTTCTGTTGGGAAAAGTAATAACTTGTGTGCGTCTCCAGATAATACAATGGGATGACCCGTGAGTGGAAGTAAAACTTTTCTAAGAAGTTTATGAAAGCTGCTGTAAAAATCTTAAGTGCTTAGGCACATTCTTGATTGAGAAGACCCTGTTTAAAGCTGTAAAAGATAGAGGGAGGATTGTTTTTGATGAGACAATTTTATGAGTGTTAAAGTTTGCTCTGTCTGAACCATGGTTTTACTTAAACAAGGATCTTATCTAAGGACCAATTTACTCCAGTAGAATTGCCAGGATGATTTAAGTGGAAAATGGATCATTGAAATCTGAGAGCTGGAGTTATTTGGCTTTGGCCACCTGAGAATTTAAGTTAATAGCTGCACAAAATATCAATCTTAGCTTTAGGTTATTTGTTGATAACTTAGGATTGATAGATAATTGGGATATTTGTTGATTGGTTTTTTAGAGTAATTGGGCAGTAGGTTTGGATGTTTATGTTTCTTCTGGTTTCAGTAATGAAATTACGTAAAGAACTTTTATCTTCTCTGTGTTATATGGAAAGTGGATATGCATTCACTTAATCTTTTAAGTTAATCAAAGTGTTCAACTACCACTTAAAAGTTGTAGTTCCACTATTATAGCACCTAAAATTGGACTGTAATCTGTCAGCAGACATTCTTCCTTGACTTCCATTCTATAAGAGATATTATCTTCCTTGAAGCAGCAGTGGCCTAGGATCCTTGCTGAGTCTGTACAACTTACTGAGACTACTCAACTCATAGATTATTTTAAATGGCATTAAAAGACTAATGATAAATGAGTAGATTGTAATACAGTTTTCTCAGTTAAATTTAACAGAATATAACTGTGATCATAAATTGATTAGTTTTGGTGGAAAACTTTTTCCTCATGCAAGATACCAAGTTCAAAAAAGTAAATGCCCTTCTTGAAAAATCACAGGTATGTAAATAAATGTTGGAACTAAAATGAAAAAAAAAAGTAAATGCCTTTATGTTAAATATGTGCCACTCTTCATATATCAATTATATATCCCAACAAAGCTATTTTTTAAAAATTTTAAGCAGTCACATAATTGTGAAAGGATGTTGATCAAACTAATGGCTGTATATTTTAGGAAAGAGATTTTACACTCTAATATTACACTTAGAGTTTTTACGTTCATTTTTAGGAAACCATACCTAATGAAAATTTGTCAATAATAGAGCACAGTCTTCAGGATACATTTAAAAGCACTGATAGGAAAAAATGGCCAATGGCAAAGATAACTGAAAAAAATCTTTGAGATAGGACAAGATTTCTGGATACCAAATTGAAAGATCTCTGGCTCAGGAAAATGTGATGAAATTGCCATCAGATGGACCATAGGGCAGGTAAAATAATTTATCTATATGTAAAAAGAAATCAGTATTTCCACAATTTCTCCAAGAGAAGCCATGAAAAGACGCTTAATAATCATTGAGAACAAGTGTAATTTCTTATTTCATCTTTAGTTCTCTGAAAAATTTCACACAGTAGTTTGTACACCTTCTAAATAATAAAAGGCTTGAATTCAGTGATTAGAGAGTAGTATCCTGGGAGAAAATCATAATGCAAAACCCATTTTACTTGTGCTTTCCTTCTACATCAAACTCCTAAAAAGAGCCAACTCTCTGATCTATCTATATAAAGCTAAGGAATTGGAGATTAATTAAATTTTCAAAATAGATGCCACAATCCATAAGATTTCTATATTGTGAAACTTCCTAAAAGCTTTCTATATGTTTACAACTGAAGATCCAGCCAGTAGTTCATCCTGAGACTGTGTATATGAAAAAAGTAAAGTCTTTTCCCCCACCAAAAAATAAAGAGGAAAAACACTAAAAATAAATAAAAAGAAAGACTCAACCTAATAATATTTTTAAATGACAAGAAGAAATAAAAAGAAGTCATCACTATGACTGCATATGCTGGAGTCATTGAGAATATAAATCTCCAAGAATATTTAATTGCCCAAGTAAGACTGTGCTACTGCCTTTCAGCTCGCAGATTCCAGTGAGAAACAGCTTTTTCTGTTTGCTCTCAACTGTTCAGAACCTTGGCCTCTGATTTCTTCAGTTTGCAGTTCTAGAGCAGAGACCCAGAATCCTGCTGTCAGCCCATGTGGAAACAGATAAACAGGAGATCCCATTATGTTTCCTCTGGGTGGCTTTCCTAATCAGACCTTGCAAAACCTCTGGGGCTGGTTGTCCAGAATTAATGGGCTCAGAAGTTGCAGGTTAATGTGGAAAAAGAATACCTCACTTGAGGTGAAGAAAGTGGGGATGGACCTGGAGCCGATATGCCCACACACTACATTTTGTATCATACATTATAAACTGTAGTTGAAAATTCTTTTAATGTTTTTCACATTAATATATTGAAAATATAAATGATAATACTCCCCAGTCCAGCAGGAATGCTGTTGAGTTAAATATGTTAGTTGACTCAGCCTGGAGCAAGATTTGCAATAGTACCTGCAAAAGATCCTGGTGTTGAAAGCAATTCTCTTGCAAAATTATCACCCTAGCAACAACTGTGTATTTGTCTTTGAAGTGAGAGACCAACAGTGGAAACACATAGACTGAACTTGTTAGAGAAGTCACTAGCCTGAGAAAAGCAGAGGTTGAATCACTTAG